TGAGAGTCCAAGCGATACAGGAGGCCCAGAAGCATCAACTCTCACGCGTTGCCTTGAATCAGAAGCGTCCGTTAAGAAAAACGTCGCAAGAGCCTTCGAAGATATTCCTGTTAATTCTAGCGTACAATTCACCTTCTTTGCTGACAAGACTCACAAGACCTCAACAAGCACCCACAATTTACTGGACACATCAGCTTGCAAAGAAAAACCGGCTCATGTTACTAAAGCAACACCACCTCGTCAGATTCCGCAACTACAGCAGTTACATGAACAAGCACGACGACTAACTAAAATGAGATCACAAGCACATTTGCGGCTTAAGGAAGGTCGTCAGAAACGACACCAACTAAAGGAAAGACAAAGCCATGATCCGAGCTATCTTCGCGCAAAGAAAAGTCAAGGAAGTCTTCTACACCGGATATCAAGACATTGCCTATGATCCGATCAATGAAGACAACGCCAGAGAAAGCTACGAAAGAAACTGAATGTTATCACTTGTACAACGCACGAACACGGGCATTATCCCATCAACTTCAGTTCTCATACACGCAGGCTGGAAGCACTGGTTCTCAGTCAGCCACGACACAGAATACAGCGCGTACGACAGAAAAATCGGCGCCTACGACATTTGACCTTCAAATGATACAAGGTCTCCCAACCTTGCTCGTTCCTCGCAGCTGCTCAAGCCGTGTCACGGTCAGCGCAACTATGCTGGACGCCACAGCCAACCTCGCCCACCAGAACTTCAGCATTTACTGGACTGCTGCACCCTTTGCTGAAGTTTTTGCGAGTTCACAGAAAACCACTGCGCCATGGAACCAATAGATTATTTTCCAGCAATCCCAGAGCCCCCCGCGGGCGCGCGAAGAACCATGGGAGAAGTGTGTACGTCGAAACCGGTCAAGCGCGCTGGCTGTTTTCTGTCGCCTGCTGGGAGCACCAAACGAAAAAAAAATGAAAGGCATCCCACATGTTGACTATTATTCCATCCAAAATACTATACATGTCTGAGTACACCTGCATGTATATCTACGCATGAAATACGAAAGGAATGATGCAGTCAGGATCGCTATAAGCAGGCGGACGTATACAGGATGTATCAGTTAAACGACATGCGAATACATGAGGACGTGCCGATACATGCCATCAAAACGTGTCATCGTGAGCAATGGAAGCTGGAACGATGCATTCCTAATCATTCAATAATTACTTGTTACTAAGTTGAACAATTATTATTGTCCGCGATGAGGTGTAGCCAAACTGCAGAGAGGTTTTACGGTATTCAAGTACAGAGATTGGTATTTAATTCACAAGCCACGTGCTTTACAAAGAAGTGAGCACATTCTAAACACGTTTAAACGAAAAAGGTAAAGGACTAGTATTTATTTGTAAGGTTGTTTGCTCTCATACTTTGCAGTTTCTTGGTACGTGCTTTAAAGTTTCACCGAGGTTTCACGGAAAGCGGTGTTTTAATCTTGCGTTGGTGCATTATTAAAATATTGTTAAATGAGGAATTCTGATGTCATGCTACGCATGGCATAGGGTAAAAAAAAACTTGCTCGCACGAGATGAGTAGTAGTTTTCAGCTGCAAATCAATCGCCTCAAAGAGGCCGGGATCCTGCATATTGTTGCATCGGTTTGCGAAAATTGGTTCACATGGCTAAGAAAGATACATATATACTTCACCCGTGCATAATGAAGTGGAGGGAGGCTCGGGTTTGCCACCACAAATGAGGTTAGTCGCATTTGTTCCCTTGTGCAAAAGAGATTGCCAGAGTCGGCAGTGAGGTCTGCTGCGGTGCAATAGTGGCAACGCTGCTCAGCTGCGGGTTTGATCCCTGCCATGGCGTTTCGGTGGAGGCCATACGGTAGAAGCTCGTGTACTGTGCGATGTCGGTGCTCCTTGAAGAACACCAGATGACCCTAAACTATGATTTCAGACATTGGAATGCCCGTAATTATTAATATTACTATTCTGCTGTAACCCAAAGAAATTCGATCAGAGCAATATCGGTTGTTTTGTCAGTTGTTGTGTAGCAGGTAAACACAAATTTCTCTCTTTTTTTCGTCCTTATAGGCTATGCTGGTTGATGTGTTAACACGCACACCAGTGAGCATCGGAGTTCCTTTAATGGAGTCACTCGCCCCGCTATGTCAATCATGCAAATGTGATTCATTCTTCGAAATCGCAGCAGTTTAGTACCATCAACCTAATCCGACAAACTGAAAAATTGCGGAAGCATATCATGTCACAAATAACGCCACACTTTGTGCAAGCTGATTTTCGCGGTTGTTACGAGACAAGTAATTCGACTGTATTAATCGACTGTAAACAGACCGTTGTTTGACCTTTTGTACCTATTTATAACACGCACGCTGCCCCCCATTTTCGTAATATTTTTTTTCGCGCTAAGTACTATTCCAACTAGTGTCAATGCAGGTTAGTAGACTCTTGTAGCCATTACATATATGGTTTGAGCAACGCGCACAATGTTGTTTGAATGGGTCTTATTAGTAAATGCCGAATATACATTCTACAGTACTCTTCCAAAATCGGAACCTCTAATTCTACTTGTCGAGAATGTCAATGGACACTGATAACGTATGCACCTACAAATCTAAGACCGCTGGTGTGCTTCATTGGCAAACGAGTTGTCTCTTCTGTTTGTTTCATTTTTTGTCGTAAAGAACTGCATAATGCCGAGGAAAACAAAAGGGTGACGTTTCTGAGCTGCTGAAGAGATCTTACAGTGGAACAACCAACGGAACAAGTCGAGAGGCCCTCACAGCTAAACACTGAAGTTCGTGATTGAATTACGGAGCAATATGTTGCACCTTGACAAATTCACGGTCTCTACGAAGTCCTGGAACAGCACAAGCGCAAAGGTAAAACGTGAGGCCCGCGCACTCGTTGCGGCAGTGGCTCCGGCGTACCAAATTTTCCCGTAAGCGCTTGCGCAACAATTGATGACGCTCGTGTGCTTTAAAATGGTATATTGTGCATTTTGACATTTTTGACTTGTCAACCTCTCCTTGTTAACTTTTGCTTGTTCGTAACCCCTTTGCCTTCTTTCGACGTATGAAGCCATGACAGTAGAAAAGGATGAGGAAGAAGTGGATATATATATATATATATATATATATATATATATATATATATATATATATATATATATATATATATATATATATATATATATATATATATATATATACCATCCACTGTTAAGATATGGGATGGCTCACTGTCATGGAAGCGGGATGTGCCGGTCAGCCATTAATGAAAGCGATGATTAACTCAAGGAAGCTGTAGAGTTCGAGCATTACATGCCAATCATTGTGTAAAACGGATAACAAGCTGCTCAAAAATTTGTGTAGAGATGAATGTTGGGCCTTTGAGGCCAGTACAGGAATGTAGGTCACAACCTTTCCTTTCTGGTAACGTGAAGCCTGTCAGATGTTACATAAAAAGGCGCGACTTCAAAGCGTCTGTCCATCACTGCAACGGATATTTGCAACGTCTGGGAAAACAAAGTCACCTTTATAAGGAACAAAATGCTTTCAGTAATAACGTCGCGTTGGGCGTATGATGAAACTTGGAACCCATTCATTACTGCACATAAAATTACGGCTCATTCAGAACAGCGGATACAAAGCGATAAAATTTCTACTTATGACATTGCGCTTTCGCAAAGTCTCTTTTGTGCGCCTATTGATAGTTTCACTCATACTACGCAGTTTTATTGCTGGTGAAGTTGTAAGACTTCTATATATAGTTATACACATTAATCACTTTAAACGAGCACTACATACTCGCCCATTTTGTGCTGCAGCTAGTCATGATTGCAGTGTATTTAAGTATTTGAAGAAGATAATTGTATCACGACTATTCTATAATTCTCGTACAGTCAATATCTTCGCATGTTGCCATACATATCGTGTGCATTGCACCTTCTAAACAAACCAATGGTACGTCGATGTCCGTTTCACTTCATACCTGCCATGACGGCGTCTGCAGTTCTTGTTCTTTATGCATGCCTGTTTATCTTCGATTTCGAGCAGCAGTACAGAACCAATACGTGCCGAAAATACATAAACCTTTTTGATGGGTTGTCACTACCACATTTCAATTTCTCAGAGCTAGGTAGATTCACAAAACATGTCCATCCCACAAGGAGTACTACGTGGTTTGACTGCCAGAATTACAGCGGGAGCAGTGAAGGTGGTAGGATACGCCCGTAGCAGGTGTGGCCATGAAGCGTGGAAACTTGGCGAAGTTGGTAGGACATAACTGCATATACGAACAGCACAACCTAAAAGTAGTTACAGTGTAACTACGGAAGCCAAAAACAAGAATACCTTATGAGCTCACCCTAAGAGTAAGGTTACGTGTCCTACTAACTTCAAGATGTACAGAGCTCGTAGTTTCGGATTTCAGTTGCTGATATCATTTGATCCAAAAGGGGCGTTCTTTGGTGAAAATATAACACATTGTTAATGGTGGTTAGATTATTTCATGAGTTGAAAGAATTGCATAAAATTTTCAAGTAAGAACAATGGTTAGACAAAATAATGCATTAGAATAAGAGCTGCTTCCTTCCTCCTTTTTGGTCGGATAAAAAAGCAAAAAAAAAAACGCTGTATCCTTCGCATCAACCAGCGCAGAAGTGAGCGAACACTGCTCATAGATTAATCGACCTCAACGATCAGTCAAACCTCAACGTGAATGACTGGTTTTCGTTGTAGTAGGTCACTGTTTACAGCAACAATTTACGTGTTTTACAATAAATACATGCAAGCTAAACGGACTTCCGTAGTCCTTATTGTATCGATATATGATGCAACACTTTTAACACATTCCACGCAGCCCGACATCAAAATAAGCCCCTTGTGACTCGGTACCGCAATGTGATCGAAACCGGCGCATTGTATCAACTCTGCTCACTGAAACAAGCACTGCCGCCGGCAGCAACGGTGTATGGAAGAAGGCATCACTCACCATCAGTGCCTGAGACCGGACCGCCACTTTGAAGCGCCTCCAACACCTCACGATGCACGCGGTCGCGTGTTCCTCCTCACTGCCGGGTTCGGCACTGTTCGCCGCAGTGGTCGGCGTCGTCGTCACAACGTCCATCGTAACCACCATCGTGCACCGTCGAAAAACCGCAATCGCCGTTCACACTGTCGTCGATATAGGCGTCGTTTCGCTTTCTTATTTCGCCTGCCGCTCACGTGACAGCGAACCTGTGACGGCTGCTCGGAGAACAACACGGGCGTCCCGGAACAGCGTCCCTGCTACTCGGCCCAGCCATCCGGCGACGTCTTCTCGAGCGGCGAGGAACGCATGCTTCCCGCGCGGTTTCCGACTGGCACAGCCGCCGTTGTGGCGCTACGCGGCGAGATGAACCGTTCAGCGGCCGCCGCTTTCCCCGCTTTACGGCCGCAAGAGCGCGTTCGGTCTCTCACACAAGCCGGCGGCCGAGGGGAGCTCCAAGAGCAACAGGCTGCCAAGCGGCGTGCAAGACTTGCGCCCGCATCCTTTCTCCCGACCCCTCTCCCTTATGGGCCCTCGCTCTCTTCACGCCCGGCAGCCCTCCTGTGTAGGTCAAGTAGCAGAGACGCCCCACCCTGCCGAACACTTTCTGTTCTCTTCCACGCGATCTGTCCGTACATCCGCCCTGGATCGAAACGTAGAGGGAGGACGTGGTAACCACACGGTATACAAACAGCCTGGTGGCAACGTCACTGCGAAATAGGGAGGCGGGAAAAGAAGAACTGCTGCAATGTCTAATTCGAGCTTTTTTGTTTGCAGTCGTGCTTCGCCCACTGCCAGAGACAGCGCAAGTGAAAGTCGGCCACTGGGACCCGCTGTGGTGCGCTCACGTGCGACACGCTGCTGCTGCCACCGTCTCCACCGGGGGGCCGAAAAGCCGGCTGCGACGGCACACTGGCTTTGTTCGCGTGATTGAAGTGATTGCGTAACTGTTACGCTTATTAGCTCTGCCGTGTACGAGAGCTTGCGCAAGCGCTGTCTATTTATTGCCGTCCATGGCATGCACTGACGGATTCGCAAAAAAATGGGGAGCATCTCCGCGAGGCTAATTATTTTCATTATTGCCACTGTTTCGAAGGTCATATATGGCAACCACAGTGTAAGTATTATACCCTAACTTCCACTTTCTCCTACGTGCTTTGGCTATAACACAGCAAACCATTAAAAAATTTCACCATCGTTAACAATTACTTCTGCAGCAATGAGCCGAGTACAGCGCTAAACGATGATTGCTGCTAGTTATGGCGTGGCCGGAAATTGTTAAAGAGCTCATTTTCTGGCACGTTCTTCATGCAGCAGCCATGTAGAACTAACGTAGCGACCACAAGTGGTACCACATGATGACAAAAAAAATATTCAAACGAAGCTTCGGCCATTGCAACCACTGGTAATCAAATTGAAGCTTTTGTAGCAATTTCATCGGGAGCAGGAGACACTCTTTATCGTAGGCTGTCCGGCAACTCAGCACTTTTCTCGTGTGCACTTTGGTGAATCCGAACACGATGACGCAAGGGATTTGAAGAGTTGAATTGTCGGAGGTAGCCTTAATGCACAGCATAAATTGCACTGTCGGCAATAACACACAGCATATATTTCACGGTCACGTCAATAATAAGCACCATAAACGCCGGTTTCTACGCAGGATCAATTTTCATAGATCTATCGAAAGCATTTGACTCAATAAATTATGTTATTCTCATTTCTTAACTACAGGCAAGAGGTGTCGATCGGCCTGCGCTGAAGCATATAAAAAATATTTAATAGACAGGCAACAGGCTGTATGAATTGGTTCCTCGCTTTTTAACTTTAGAATAATCAACCAAGGTGTTCCGCGAAGATCGATACTTGGTGCCCTACTAATCTTACTGTGCATCGATGGTTTACCTAACCATCTAACACAAACGGATGCTTTCCTTTACGCAGCTGACACGCCATTGATTGCTAGCGATCGATCCCTATAGCTGCTTTTACATCAATGTTGAAGACTGATATGAACAATATTTTAGCAAAGTGCCGACTTAATTCGCTGAAAATAAGTCCCTCCAAGACTTCGTTTATGCTTTTTCATTCCAGTCACAAAACCCGAGAAATCCTTCCCATTGTCATTCATGTCTTTATTGCTACTATTGCTGTTGTTAAATGTTCATTTCTTGGCGTTTAGATTCAAACATGAAATTTAATAAACACATCACCCATCTGGAGCACAAACTTGCTCGTGGTATTATAATTTAATAAAACCTAAGTACTATTTAAGCAAACCTATACGACTAATCCTGTGTTATTGTTTCATTCACAGTCACCTAAACTACTGTATCACGTCGTGGGGTACCATTTATCCAAAACATATAGCAACGCTACAACGTTTGCGAAATCAAGCCATTTGTGTACTAATGCGAAGCTCATTCATCTGCTGTGCGTCCGACACGTTTCATAATAACACACTCCTTCCACTAACAGCCTTGTTAAATACAATTTAGGCGTAGTGTTATTTAAACTAATAAAGAACCTTCCTTCAGTGAACATATTTCCAGAAGCTATTCTTGTTAACACCAATCGAACAAAACTCGCAGGCGTAGTGTCATTTAAACTAATAAAGAACATTCTTCCAGTGAACATATTTTCAGAAGCTATTCTATTTAACACCAATCGAATAAAACTCCCAGCTAGCAACAATTTATTAGAGTCATTAGTTCATAGTAATTCAAGAAAACACTCCAGTTGTTTCACATTATTATCAATCTAGAACGGTCTTCCTCTTAACGTTAAGCAACCCTCATCATTAGCTCTTTTTAAGAACACATTATTCCTACTTCTTCTAAATACCTTAAAATTGTAGGATCTACACTTGTTCATATTCCTGTTGCCACATCTACTCATCTTTTTCTTGCTTTGATCGTTCCTTTGTTCATTTATTCATTTATTCCGTATTTTCGGGTTTTTTTTTCATTTTTAATTGTTATAAGCAGTGTTTTCGTTCTCCTCATAATTATTAAAATTTCACTATTCCTAGTTTTAATTACAATTATTTGTATAACGTTTTCCACGTTGTTGTCGCATATTACTTGTACATATTTAACACATTTTCAGACAGGAGGTCTCTTTTCTGCCAAATGCTCTGGAACCTCCTTCGGTATACTTATGTGAGCATGTACGTTTTATATGAAAGTAATTGAACTGAAACTGAAGTCACAAATGAGCTACGTCATGCATGGAATTTTCAAGAAAGAAAAAAAATGTGCTGAAAAAAATCAGCGTCATGGAGATGGGCCTATTGGAATATGAAGTGCGCATGACTCAACGCATTTATTTTAGGTTCCCAATAAAATGGTTCGTTGAAAACAGTGTACATAAAATTGACAACACAGTACTGGCAAAGCTGACGTGATGTTACAAGGCTCAAAGAATTAATTAGTGGGAAATGGGAGATGACTATGTCTACCTAAATGTCGAAGTTATTGTCTTGTTACTTGAAGTACAAAATGAGCGTTAGATGTCAGCTTTTTTTTGTTTTTGTAGTGTATGTCCTAAATCATTTGCTGACTTTTCCAGAAGACTGATGAGAAGTTCAGCAGCCTGACATGCAAGCGTACACTGAAGTTCATTGTGTATATAGTTAAGAAAAGTGGATCCAGTGGCATTGCCATCGGCTTGAGCTCATGTTTCTTGCGCCTGGCCGTATGCTGCTGACCAGTGCCTGTTGTCACAAATTACTTCTTAGCAATTGATTTAGGGGTGACTAAACGACCATGAATAATGATGTTTCTGCATAATTACTACAGAAATATAGGTTTTATTCGTACAATGTTTTGTTTAGCTCTAAAGAGACTTCCATTTAGCAGAACTGCATAATTGGATTGCAGAGAGGGGGTGGATCGTGTTTTTGTGTGATCTGCACTAGTTTTGAAAGTATACAAGGCAATTAATTATTGTAAACAATTACTAAAGTTTATTTTCTTTATTTGTTCTAGCCCGAACTTCTGCCTTCGGGCTAGCTTGCTTTCTGCGTCGGCGTTGCAAGTCAGAGCCCGTTCACGTTCATATTGATCCGTGGCAGAAAAAGAATGTGTTGTCTGGAACGCGCTTATTCTTCATCGTCATCAGCCACAGCACAAAAAAAGAACACAATGCCTTACAGGTGTGTAGCGGGTACCTCGCTTATTAGCAGAATGACGAATGGCGTAGTCGCACAGTGAGTGCTTTCCTTCTTCGTGAAAGTTACGGTGAGCCTATAGTGGCTACCTTGCATGTACTGTGCCACGAAGGACACATGCACAGACAACGGACAGGCCAAAATGGTGAGATGCTTCGCCCGGTAAATAACAGTCGCACCACAATTCTACTATTACGGGGATGGGGCCCGCTTTCTGTGATTTGCCGTGAAAGTTCTGTCACTTGTCGTCAGACCTACGGCAATGCAAAAAAGACACAAACAACCGAGGGCTTTGAAGGCAGGTTTTCTGAGCAACACATTCGCCGAATTGTCAGTAAGCTGGCAACTACGACGCTCGGTTGCGTATGATCTGGTCAGTGGACCAAGAACGAAATTTAAAGACTGCCGTAAAAATTTCTTTCGGTAAAAAAATATACAAGTGAGTACTTTATCTAAGCAGCCTTTAAGTGCATTCTCTTCATAATTTTAAAAAATCGAAGGTGGCACATAGTTTATAATTAACGAAACACACAAGGGTAAGGTGATGTCAATGTTCAAGCTGGCTAGGTTAATAACGTACTTGAAGGAAAACTACTAAATAACAGTTTTCCCCCTATACCTTCATTGTATACTGCAAATAACGCGTGATAAATGCAGAGACAAATGAACGGTGAGGACTCGCGCTCACGTTAAATGAAAGCTCATTAAGACTGTACATGAATAAGGATATGTGATCAGCAGCTCAGTCATGAAGCATGAAGACAAGAATCGAAACAAGAACCAAGACAACAGCAAAAAAAGGAAAAAAAAGAACTTAAAAAAAACAGTCACACTTATGCGAATAGGTTGCATGTGTAGACCTTTTTGCTGTTTTTTTTTTTTTTTGCTGTTATCTCGGTTCCAGTTCCACTTCCCGGTTTCATGCACAAATGACCATGCTGTGATCACGTCCGTCATTGTGTTTTGCGTTTTCCTGTGCAGTGTTAATGAACTATCGTTGGAGGTCAGTGTGAGTCCTAATCTTGTCTACCAACTATTTCGGTAACATGCCTTGACACGTGGATGTTATTGTCAACTTAAAGCAGAAGTAGTGCAAGCCCACTTAAAGTAAGTGACTAAGCAGCGGGTTCTTGGATAATATTAAGTAATTTATAAATATTTTGCTTACAAAACAACTGATTTGTTACAGTTGTCAAGCCATGCAGAAAACATTGCAACTGTTCACAGGAAACTAACAAGAACTAATTTCAAAATTCTGAAAAATAAATAAAACAGTGAGCAGATACGCACTATGTT